GACGTGAGGAATAGATCTCCATCAATGTTGATGAAACACACGCTTTTCGGGCTTTTTAATGAGTCCGAATGGCATCGTTTGGTTTCTCAGTTAAAGTGCAATCCCCTGACTGAGTCAGCATTCCGATCACGTTCGAAATACCTTGACGGCACTTTACAGCGCTGCTCTCCTTTCTCGTTTCCACTCCCGGTGGACTCGATGGATATGTACTGCTGACAAGAATGAAATAGCTGTACTACAATAGTTTTGAAATTTAAACTTCAACAAATGAGTTTCATTGAAGTAATCACTCAAAGTTACCTTACCAATCTGGATTTGCGTACCGATATATATAAGTAGTATGTGAATGACTGAACAAAATTTCCCTGGAAGCACACGACCGGTTTCGCGATTCTTACCGCTCGTCAGGCATGCGTATCCGGTAACCTTTTGTCAATTTCTTCATATACTTGTACCCAGGAAGTGTATTTTCGTCACAATAATCTTGTTTGCAACACCGGGTAACCATTGGATTGACAGCTCTTTCCGAGCCAGTCCAATGAAGAATCAATGCTATGATTCGATGTTTTGTAAGTAGGTTAGATGCTACTAACCGCAACAAACGTGACCCGATGGTTTTGGTAGAATATTTCATAATAAGTAGTATGTGAATGACTGGATGATTAAGTCACGTCACGTCACAAAACATCGACTCATAGCGTTGATTCTTCAATGGAGTGGCTCTAAAAGAACTGTCTATCCAAAAGTCACCCGGTGTTGAAAACAAGGTTATTGTGACGAATATATATTTGGACCATGAATGAAAGACTTCCAGCCTTATCTGCAACCATATCTTTGACAAACCATTTCCACAGACTGGATGTCACACGGTTCCACTTGACATACGATCTGCCTCGGAACGCGAAGCATCTGGACCATACACATCCGGACCGAATCAGTTCCAATCGATTGGACGCGGCGGAAATCAATCAGATACCGCGGGGAATCCTGTAGAGCCTGAGGTCGAACGTGTGCTGACCACCGGCGAGGACTGTTGCACAATATATACCCGATGTTTTATCATACCCCTGGGCAAAACACTCGAAGATCCTTTGTACGGATGGCGTTTACATTTGACCTGGGAACGAACCCCCGAGGCGTACGAATTCGGTGAGGTCGGTTGGAGCAGTGTGGGTGCACCAATTGGCAGTTTGTCTGGCGTGTACGATCTGGTTCAAGTTCACTTAACCTACCGGTTGAGCGAGAAGGCCGGATTTCCCTCTTTACCGTTCAATTTGAGTGAGTGAATGGGCTGGTTGGTTGGTTGGTTTTACAATAAGTGGTACATGAATCCTTTGTGACAAAATTTCTCTGGAACGTTTGTCCACGTAATCCGATACTACCTATTTTAGAATGTTTTATAAAGATGCCCAAGTCAAGTTTACTGTGGTTAGTAGAATTTAACCTACCTACAGAACATCGAATCATATGGTAATGATTCTTCAATCGACTGTTTCTGAAAGCAGCTACTTGTTACCCGAAAATCTTTCTCGATAATTTGCGAACAACGGCCTATCAGGTCTCGTGTACTAATTAAAATGCTCGTTCTGAATTACTTATTAGAACGTTTCACTACCACCACCATCAGTATTACTACTAGTACTACTAATACTAGCCCTACTATCACTAAAGCATTTCCTCGAGTATGAAGTAAACTATTAGCTTTCCTTTCATGCATCCTCATTTTATTGCGAGATCACGTGATTTAAATCAGGTAATTCCAATCATTGAATGCATATTGACCTCATTGCTCGTTTAGCCTCTCACTCACTTTGTGCTCTTTATTGTATGAGGAGTGTCAGCGCTTGTTATTCCATCTATCTGTACCGATGAGCAATGCACCTTTTGGGGGCGAACTCCAGGCAAATGTCCAGGTAGTGTGTGTGGGTTTGTTTGCTTGCCCTTCGGTCTGTCTGTCTGTCTGTCTGTCTGTCTGTCTGTCTGTCTGTCTGTCTGTCTGTCTGTCTGTCCTTCTGTCAGCGCACACAACAGCCACATTCCGGAAGAGATTAAATTAGGTCAATCGGATGGAAAATTCCAACCGCTTTGTCCATTTCCGTGTTCGCCGCTCAGTTCCGCGCGCGCGGAATCTGATACGCTCACGTGCTCGCCAAACCTGGGCGAAGGTTGCCGCGTGTGCTGACTGATTGGCGGTTAACCGCTTTTAGGACGTGCTTGTCAAAGTGATCATATGTGGCATTGGAGAACCGCGTTTTATTAAAATTTGATTAGTTTGGACAAGAATCCAATCTATGCACTTCAATATTGTCACTGAGATAGTTATACTTATTGTGTAAATATTTTCTAAGTTGGTTAAAATTGAATTATTTTCCAAACGAACCTCATTATCCTTACAACCCACTAGAGAGCAAGCACCACAATGTCGTCACGGATTAGATGATGAAATCGACGTCTAAATAAGGCGTGAGCTGAAAATCTAGGAGGCACTGGAAGGCTGTTTTGACCTGGTTGGGTCTCATCAGCAGTGCGGATCCATCGATCCCAGTGGGGATCGTCAGGTGGGTTGTGTTATACCGTATATATTCAAAATTAGAAACGGTGCAACCAGCTGCCCGGTATCCGAGTGGGTAGCAGGCTGCTTCCTACTTGTGAGGTTTCGGCTCCGATCCCCAGTTGAGTCCGTGGCTCCGCGCACTACTGATGAGACCAAACGCGGTCAAAACACCTGTTCAGCGCCTCCCAGCTTTTCAGTTTACGCCTCATTTACACGATGAATTCACCATGTAATCAAATGAAATCCTCCATTCCTCTCATAAAACACGGGTTAATAATTTCAGTTATCTCTATTTCTACAGCCTCACCAAACTTCAAACACATGAGAAAATCGCCACCTTGAACCAATGCATCATCTCCCTAAATTCTGATCTGGGTCTTATCTCCGCTTGAAGCTGTAGCAACCGTGTCCTGTTCAATGCCAGTAAAACTTCACTTATGTCCATTTCTCTTAAACACACATCTTTCTCCCCTTCCTTGACTTTCAACTCGAACACTTTCCGTTCCACAGAATCATGCAACCTATTAGGTCTTTCCTCATCTTTTTCTCTTTCATGGTCACCTTATATTTACCTGCTTGTTTCACGCGATTCGCGCAAAATTGATTTCCGCTTCCGCGCCAGACGTTTCTTCACCTCTATTCACCTCCTCTCGCTTTACGAAGCTCAGATTCGCTCTACGATGGAATAATGCAGTAATGTGAGGGATGAAGCATCGTTCACCTTACTATCTCTTCTTGATTGGGTTCAATGTAAGGCCATCCGTCTCATCAACGACCCGTCCTTAACATCGAACTTGCAGTCACTAGCTCACCGTCGGGTAGTCGCTTCTTTATCCTTGTTCTATCGATACTACTTCGAATTTTGCTCTGATGAGGTTTCCGCATCAGTCCCCCTCCCACTGGTTCTTCCTCGTGGATCCCGCGCATAAGCGGATAGTCACCCATTTCAAGTAACTATCCCCAGATGTCGCATTTCTAACTTTCAATCATCTTTTTTTCCAAGAACTGTACAACTGTGGAAAACTCTCCCCCTTTCGGTTTTCCCTCTAACGTATAACATCCATGTTTTTAAACGCAGAATCAACAAGCTGGTTCTAGCTTGAATGTTCTCCATACCTTTCCACTTACAGTATATATTCGGATTCACTTTCGTGTAATGAAAAAAATCAGAGAATGACTCACAAATCACCATTCTAATATCATCATTCTAACCTCCACAGCAGAGTAAAACAAACCAAACAACTACGAACGAACCAGGTAAAGTATATTAGTGTATGCAAATCAAAACGAAAGAGCGTTTCATGAAGCATTTAAAAGCCTTGGTTGACTGTCGAGAACCAGTTGTTGAGTGTGGCGATCGATTTTCGGATACACGTATCCGGGATCAACAGAAGTGATAATAAACGAGGCCAATATCCGCGGCTACCAACAAGTGACCCGAGCAAAACTGGAGTAGTGAGTGAGTTGAACTCACAAACTCTCGCGTCCGGATCTGAATCCCGGTGGATTCGCTGGTGATGCCTAACTGATGATGGCATTTGTCAAGTATTCTCATGGTATTTTACGGTGAATGACTTGTTCAATCTGTGTAACAAAAACAACTTCCCGGATAAACCACATCATCATGCTCGTGTCAGATCGGGATAATTCGTTAGAAGCAAAACGTATGAATTGGAAATGATCGGGGCTTGGGATGCAGGAGTTGGTGTGATCTCCGAACTAGAGGTGCTATTTGCAAATGTTTTGTAGCCGGACTGCGTAATATCATCAGCGCAATTTCCCCTAGGCATGAATTTCCGAACGGGGTTGGTCTTTTGGAATGAAAATCCTTCTAATCGTCATCACCACCACCAGCAGCAGCAGCAGCAGCACTGAGTTAGTCTGTGACCTTGAAATCGTTGATGATACAGGATTGCATCGAATACTCGACTCATTCACATCTGGCCACATATGCACCACTTCAGGATATGGAAATTTCGCTGAATGTGAGAGGTTCATCCAAGTTCACATTTAGTCCAATCGTGCAGTTGTTTTTTTTTATTTTGCCAGGATAACAACCTCAAAAAGGTCATTGAATTTGAAATTACCCACCGCAAGTCCGTTATGTATTCGAAATGGGTATCTAGCCGGAGCTCGGAATATGGTGACCAGCGCGATGCGAGATCGGTTCGCGTACATTTGCATCGATGAGTGAGTAGTTTACTTGAAAGGTAAACAGTGGTGCACATTGGTCACACACACTGGAGAGCAAATCTTCCTTGAAGTGCACTTATACTCGGTGCCATTTGTTTCTAAGTCAGGATTTAGCTATGTCAAATTTAACAATCACGATGTAAATGAATTGAAGTTCTCTCGAAAGCCGCACAACATTTCCGGTAAAATTATTTAAACTGTCCGGAAAAACAACTGCGGAGAAGCACTGAGGCTGTACGAATGTTTCTCCGCTGACAATCTGTTCCGAGTGTTACCTCTAACTTTAACTAGTCGTACATTTGTAAAGTTATAAATCGAAAATGTTGCACGGTTATAGAGAGAACGTCAGTTCATTTGAATTGCGATTGTTAGATTTGACACGGATAAACCCTATACTTGACTATAGAGTGCGAGGACAATGTTGCACGTGTCCTAAGACTTGGCTACGTTTTTCAACATTTCCCAAATGAGTTATGCATACCGACAACAAACAACGTGCGACGTAATCCGTTGATGATTTGAACTGTCACCAAAGAAGTGCGCTCACGTCGACACAAAACTATCACAGGGACGAATAAATCAATAACATTTGCGAATAAAACTGGAAACTAGATTTCACCATTGAGCAGCTGAATTTAATTGTACCAAATGATTGATGTTTACCAAGTGAATGTTGATTTGTGTTGGTTGATTGATAGGGGAACCCAAATCGGTTATCTAGACGTGGTTCATGAAAGCAAGATCACTGTTCATCGATTTCATTGTGAACACTATGAGACGAAGTAATTCGTAGACAGCAATGTGTTTAAAGGGTTTTGAATAAATTTGTAAGTTTTATTATACACCTCCCACTAATGCAACGAGTACGCTTTTCCCGCCTCTCTCTCTCACATGCGCGCGCGTTCGCTCTGATTTTAGCCGTTGAATTCGAATTCGCATTCTCATTGGACACCATCTTCGGTTGGCCTAAATACTCTTAATCTCACACCGGTTAAACTCGGTTGAGAATCATTTCTACACATCTTGACACAAGTAAGTGTTGGTATCAAAAATCCCAATACAGGTTTGCGAACGTTTCAGGTCAATAGCTCTCATATGTTTGGGCACGAGTTCGATGGAGCGGTCCATTAAGAAACGTTGTCAGCCATTGTTCACCATGCAACATGACATGTCATGTGAATTCAACGTGTATGCAGTAAATGAAGCATGAACTGATAAGCAAGGAAGCACTAGACAGCTGTTTCAATCTGGTTGGGTCTCATCAAGAGCGGTGCAAATCCATCGACCCAACTGGGGATCGCGAACCCGGGACCTCAGGGATCTCACAGGCAGAACGCAAGCATACTACCCACTCGGCCACCGGGCAGCTGATCAGACACCGTTTATGATTTTCCATTTACACGATATAGTACAACCCATCTTTGCGAGCTTGTTGTGGGCCACAGACCCTGCTTATCTCAGCACTAATCTCTGGAGTTATGAAGCCGTTGGAAACAACCTGACTAGTTTGAATATCCCTCTCTCCTTCTTC